AATATCGGGAGTAAAAACCTTTTCCCCAAAACTGCTTGGGAACTCTCTATCGCCCTGATGGAGAGCAAACCTTGAACTTCTTGTTCCAACAGTTTCTCGTGAGAGGGGTCCCTGAAGAGGGACGGGGAGGGAGGAGTGGTGGAGGGAATAGAGAGAAAGGGGATGGAGAGGCCGGATTGAACTACCTCTAGCACCCATCTGTCTGTGGTGATCGTAGACCAGTGGTGGTAGAAAGAGCGTAGACGATGGTGAAAAAGATGATGAGTTTCCGTATTGACTATGGGCAATTGGTTTGCATCCTCGACAAGCAAGTCAAATCTGTTGCTTAGTCGACTGCTGATTACCCGAACGGTTCTGCTGTGGTCGCTTGCACTGGGGGAGTTGTCTAGGACGCTGGTTGTCAAAAGAACGTGATTGCTGTCTAGCAAAATTGAAGTCATATCTCCGTTGGTAAGGGAAATAACGCCTACGTTTGAAGGAAGGTGTGTACATCCCCAGTGTACGTAGTGTGGTGCTTGAGTCTTCCCGAGTGGAGGACCTCATCAGTGTTTGCCGCAAAAAGTTTAAGTTTGTCAAAGGGCAGATCCTCAACCTTGCTTTGCAACTCCTTCGGCGCCCCTGCTGACGAAAGCCAAGATGATCTCCTCATGGCGATACCAGTCGCAGCGGCCCGAGCTGCTGTGTCAGCCACATTCATAGCAATCTGAAGTGCAGCGCTACATGACGCGTACCCCTCCTGTACTATTGCTTTCAGGAGTGGTTTCTTGGTGTCTGGGAGATGGTGCAACAAATCTGCTAGTTTGGAGTAATTATCGAAATTATGGTTCGACAAATGGGCCGAGTAATTTGCAATGCGAAGTAAAAGTGTAGCTGAGGAATAGACTTTCCTCCCCAAAACATCCAATTTTTTATTGTCCTTGTCCAAAAGGGTATTTCTGTATTGTGGCACCTTACCCCTACGTTGCGCTGCGTCTACTACCAGTGAATTGGGTTGGGGGAGATTAAATAAAAAGTCCAACCCCTTTGCTGGAACAAAATATTTTCTATCAGCTTTTTTACTTGTAGGTGCAACCGATGTTGGGGTTTGCCATATCTCGTCCGCCACTTCCATAATCGCCTCATCGATTGGTAACGCGACTTTCGCACGTTGTTGAGGGCGGAGGTTCTTCAAAAGGCGATGTTTCTTAACAGGCACATCTGCTAGCTGTATGTCCTGCGTGTCTGCCACTCGTTTGAAGAGATCCTGAAAATGTTTCAGGTCATCCGGTGGGGAGATTTCAACTGGGCAAATCGCTTCATCCGGGGAAGACGATGGGCAGTCCGCTGGGGAAGCTTCCGTCTTAGGGTCCTCTGTTTCCGATAACTGACCCTCCTCTGGTTCGGATTGGTCTAACTGGATTGTTGGGCTCTTAGTTGGAGAAGGTGAGCGCAGTGGTTGTGATTGATGAGGTAAGTATTCCGCTAATGGTGATTGGCAGATGTAAGATCCCCTATGCGATGGTGGTGAATGGTGACGCTGGGGATGATTGTCGTATGATCTATGATAGCGCTCACAGTAATGTTCAGGGCATGACGGAGAGGGGTATCGAGAATAACGTGCGCTACCATGCTGGATATAATAGATGCGGCATGGACAGCGCCTCACCGATCCGTACCTCGAGAGACAGAAGGGCGACCGGGATCGCGAACGGGACCGATGTGCATCTAAATACACCACATCCCTATAATCGTGCCGGCTGTACCTAATCCTCGAGGGGGAAAAATAGCCGTGATAGCGACTTCGCCTTTTTGGTGAAGCAGACGGGGAAAGAGACCTGTCCCTATAATGGGTCTTTGACAATGACTTCCTATATGTAGAAGTCTCATCCCTAGCCCGAAGCACAGGGGAACCAGGCACCGGGTGAAGGTGAGACGGTGCCGGAGAGGTCAGCTGTTGCTGATCTGGTGTCGGTGCCGGCAGGGCCCCCGGTGCCGGGGTTAGCAATGGTGCCGAGTCTGAGGCACTGGCGTGTCCTGCCTCAGGTCTCGGTGCTGGAGAAGACGGTGCCGACGTCACCGCCGGGGCCAGCGAAATAGGCGCCGATCCACTGGGTGCCGCTGAAGACGGTGCCCGGACGCT